TTTTTTTAATTATCTAATTGAGAATAAATTATTTTTTTAAGCATAGGTTTCTTTGTTGTATTTTTTTCATTAAACGTATTTATTTTTATTATAACAAATAGACTGCAATTACCTGCCGCGAGAAAATTATCGAGTTAATGAGCACATTATATTTTTTAAAGAGACCAAACAAATTTAAAGCGTAAAGAAATTAAGATTTTGCTTATAATTCAGCACACCTCCCTCCGTCCCCATGTTCTAAACAACTGCATTTTCACGAAGGGGGGCGTTGAAATGTTTTTTGCTCCTTAAGGGGGCGGCAACGTTAAAAAGGTTGAGAATCTATGGTTTAGTGTATAATACATACATCTATAAAAAAAATTCTAAATTAAAAACTTCACAATTTTGTTTCCAAAGGTATACGGGTACCTAAAAAAATGATAAAATTTCGATTCTTCGTCTTGATGTTTAAAAAAAAAAGGCCTTTTACTAATTCACAATAAATGATTGAATAGAATGACGTAAATTTAGTTTACCCACAGATAATGCCAGACGCAAAATTAAAAATTGATTAAGTTTTAAAGTTTTATTAACCCCTTAACGATCGATTAATTTTCAAGAAAGCTGTCATAAAAGTGCCTATTTTTTTATCCCTGAAAATTGATTAGTGCTGACATCTAGTTTAAAATAAACTAACTATCTACAATTACCTTAAAAATATCCTGGTACTGCAATCTGGTGTGTAAAATGAGAAATAAAATGTTTTCTGGGCAAAAGAAATGAATTAGTTTTATTCTTATTGACGCGTCACTACTGAACACTCCGGCCCGGAACTATCACGGGAGCGAGAAATAGAAGGCGAAACCTAACCCCTTCATTTTCACGGGAACGAGAAGGAAGGGGTCAAAGCAAAAATTTTACAATGCGTAATTTTAGAAATGAATTCGTTATTTATCTTTGATGTAATAACGATGATTTATTTCTTCTAAAAGCAGAAAGAAAACTAATTAATTTTTCTACAATCATTCCAACTAGTTTTTCCACAATTGTTACTATGATTGATTAAAATTTTATTAGATATTTATCCTTGTCGAAGAATAAATCAACCAATTTGAGACTTCTGTCACAAAAACGTACCATTTCACAGTGATGAAAAAAGTAATAACAGTGATACTTGAATAAATTGCATTAGTTATACTTGGATAAAAATAAGATTTCTTTCACAATTCGTTTTTTCAGGAACTATTCAACCGATTTCGCTTTAATTTTTATTTTTCCATGTAAAAATTCATGTAAAAGGGGTTTGAACTTTACATTCTTTAAAGTGATGTAAAAAATTGTATACCTTACAATTCAAAATTTCTTTCGACTTTTATAAAAAATATCCAAAAAAAAAATCAGTATTTACTAAAACTTATATTTTGAATGAAATTATTTTTGGATAAACGAATTTTATAATTATGTGCAAAAAAAGTTTTCAATTTGTCTAAAAAGTTCTCGAGAAAAGGAGAATTAACATTGTAATAACATGTTAAGAGGAATTAACATTGTGCACAATAAGTAAAATTAACATTGACTGGTCCAACAGCTCTCCTGACCAAATTGTTGGGACCATATTTCCCAGATTACGGCTACCTCCTACATTTTGAGGGTAAAGAATCTAAACCCGCAAAAACAATAGGTATGTTTATTCAGAGAAAGTATGTTTTGAAGTTTGATTTCATGACTTAAAGTATTGTTTGCATTAATTAATTAGCGTATCTGAGGTCACCCCTTCGAACCTTCAAAATTGAGTCCTAGAAAATTAAGATCAAAAGTTATCCAGGGTGATCCGTTTTTTTTGGTGCATTGTTTACAGGGTGCGTAGCGTTTTTAAAAGGGCTTAGAGGTGCTTTTTTTTTTTATTCGGGGTTTGTAAAAAGTGCTTAATTTTCCCTTTTTCTAAATGAGATTTTTTCTTTACCACGCTGATTTTCGCTGCGAATTATGCAAAAAGGCACAGTTAGCATTTTTCTATTCAACGCTTTCACAATTAATTCAATCCCAATCTATTTCGGCGTATTGTCAGTGCGCAGTGTATGAAAACGCCATTCGTTTTATATGATTCAAAACTTCATGACTTTCGACAAATGTCAAAAACAATGCCAAAAGTTTGTTTTTTGACACGTCGGTTAAAACAAGATAAAACCATTACTGGTCAAAAACTTTCTAACCCTGCCTAATTATGATATTTTTTAAAGTGGTTAAAAATATTTTTAAAGTGCTTAAAAGGTGTTTATTTTTTGTTCAATAATTTAGCTACGCACCCTGGTTTACCAATATTAATAATATAGATTCTATTATACACGAATGCCTTTTTTTTCAAAGATAAATTTTAAGAATAAAATAATTAAGTTATCAGTCCTTATCGTTTTGAAAAGCGATCGTAGGAAACCATAGGTTGATAATTTATGTGAACCTGCGCTCAAATATGTAAAAAGTGATGACCAGCAAAATTTTCCTACTTAAATTTTCCTACAAAACTTAAATTAACTTAATTAAACTACTTAAATTAACCTACAAAATTTTCCTACTTTCCTATTTTTAAAAAAAAGTATTCAAAAGTATTTTGATCTAAACATATGTATTTTATGACTATAATATTTAGTAACAGTAGTTACGAACGAACTGCTAAATTGAAAAATTGAATATGGTTTTATAATTTCAATTATAATTTTTAGGTTAAAGATAAATAATTCTAAAATTTTTTTAAAAGCATTCTTTAGCGCGTGTTTTATCACAGGCTATGTGTTAAAATTTTGGGAGAACCACTGAGAGCTCTAAAACAGAATGGCCACAACCGGGACAAATTTTAAAAACTGGGGCAAAAGATTGAAGACGCAAATTGTTTTTAATAATTTCTATACATAAAAATACATTTGTAAAACAAAATAAATGTATTCCATAGAACGGTGCCAACTTGCTTCGTTCTGTGGGATTTGTCAATCCAGGGGTAGAAAGTTTATGTTAAAGTTATATTGAGCACCACTACATTAAATTAAGTTTTCATATAGCATGCCACTTTGTTGGCGAAACCAAACAATGTAATAGATAAAGCAAATGCAGCAACAACAATAATACAACCACTAATCTACAACCAGAATGTTTCATTAGAACTAAAAAAACTGCTATATAAATCAATGATCAGGCCAGCTCTCACATATGTCTCACCTGCCTGGACAACCATACCGGAACATCTCATGAAAAAACTCAGCCAATGCCAGAACAGGATACTCAGAAAACTCACCCGTGCCAGATGGTTCATCAGAAATACAAATATTCACAAAGACCTCAAGATACCGATCTTATCACAATATATTTACCAATTAAGTGCAGATTTCTTTGGCATAAAATGCAATACAGTAAACTTCAACCAGATATTCAATTTTGAAAATTATAAAATAGATATAAAATTAAAACCAATAGCTTCTCACTTAACATCCGACGCCTCACATCACAATCATCAAAATAAAAAACTAATCACAGATCCACCCATAGTATCAGATTAAGCAACAATACTAACAACTTGATTAAGCGTTTCCCCACGATAACCATCTATCTACATTCAAAGCCACACATAGTTTAAAGCAAGCTGCTTCTTTCCATTATTATTATTTACTAAAGTAAGGTGCTTGAATTCTTTAACAGCCACCACATAGACTGCTAACCATAAAGATCTACAACAAATATAAAAAAGAAACATGATGGATGGGATAGGGGCAGCTGCGAGGTCCAGGTGCCCAGCTCTCAACTCAAGACAAGACAAGAAACCAAACAATGTTATGCATGTTTTAATTTTTTACCACTTTATAAAATATTTTGTCGAAAGCGGAGCATTTGATATCCCTGTCTAAATCAACTTAATTCTTGAAATTACAACCGTTGAAATTTTCAACAGCCTGATGAAAATTTCGTTACCACTTTTTAAATTTTTTCCCGATTGTGGTGAACTTGTAAAATAACTGTAGGTATTGACTTACTCTGTGAAGGGCTTCAAATCAGCAACTATCTCTGATGGCTCAGTTTCTACAATAATTGGTATTTGTGGGGGTGGAATAGTACCTGCAAATGAAAAGAATCATTAGGATCGAAACTTCTATCTGTATGTTTACACACATAAAGATGGAAAAATATGCGATAGAATCATTTTATTTTGGCGTGTTTTTCTTAAGAGAGCAGGATATCCACGCCAGTCAGTCATTTTTTTAAAAGTTATAACATCGATATAAGACTGTCTGAGAAAAAGCAGTTAGTGGTGGATACTGGATAGTTTATTAAGAGTCGTAAGGGCTTAATATACTGCCGAGAACTAGTTGCAAATGAAATGGTTTTTACTACCAGTTTTTTCCCTCTCATTTTCAGCCCCGATCTGTATGTGTGCTCGGGTGTTCATGCATTTGACTTAAAGTGGTAGTAAACAAATTTGCAAAGTGGTAGTAAAATAACAATTAAGTTTGGAAGAATTTTCTAAAAATAAAACTATTGAGTCATCTATAAGTATAATTGGCCAACAAATAAGTGTTATCGTCAAATTTTTTTTTTCATTATTGATAAGTCGTGGTAGACACCGTCGTTGAACAGCAGATCTAGTTTTTTGGGTATACGACTTTTAATTTTCAACTCTGTATCTTTGTAATTTTGAACCCAATCCAGAAGAAAAGGGAACTCCTGGAACAAGTATTGGAAGAAATTTGCCTACGTGGAGAACTTTTCGATGGAACTAACCACTTTAGCATATTAAACCAACTCCATGTGACTAACCGTTACATGGAGAGGAAAATTACAAAAACCTCCCACGGTTATCCTGCCGGCAAAGGAAACTCTAACCCTTGATTCATCTACCACTGAGGATATTTTACGTCAGCATTGTGGTTGGTGCAAGTCGGATGCGGAATTTACATGGACCAACCATCGCTGGGAATCGAACCCAGTTCACCTCATTGGAGGCGAACGCTCTGTCCCCTGAGCCATCATGGTTCAGTTGTGGTAGTTTAAATTTTTTTTGTGAAACTTTAAACTCCAAGTTATAATATGCTAAAACGCTAATGTTTCTACCATTAAGAAAACTAATTCTCAACAGCCGTATAAATTTGGAGTTATGTGACTGCTGAACAATGGTGGGCTTTTAGAAGCAAATAGTTTAGTATCCCATTTCTGGCAAGAACGTAATAAATAGCGAAATGCTCACAAGCTGGAATATGTGATACAATATTAAACTATTTAAACAATTTACATTTTGATTATTTTGGTAGGTTAAATACTCGTTTTAGGTAGTTCATCTTTTTTAGCAGTAAAATAAATAGCAATTTCTTAATGACTTAAGCAAAACGAAGTAACATACATATAGTGATAAAACAATTGTATAATACAAAATTTTTCGATTATTGTTTTAGAAAAATTTTACTGCCTGTTACCTTATTTATCTATTTGTATTTATTACCCGTTATCATAATTGTTTTAAATTTCTTGATATATTTTTACTGTCGATTTCTGTAATTAACTACGTTTGAACAATTTGTTTTTATGAATATGAAAGATAAAAATGGTTTAAACTCGAATAAAAAAAAGAGAAAAAGTCCCCACCTACTTAGCGTATTTTTTACACTACGCGTGTTTCTAAAGCTGATACTGAATGGCAATTATTTTCTTTTTTCTTTCATTTGGCTAACTTCCCAGCAAACGTAACCAGTAATTTTTTTTTCTATATTTGCTCTCAAAAAAGAAACAAAAATCTTGATGTATCCAAATCATAATTGAGATATTTTCTTAGTGAAGAGATGGAGATTATTTTTACTTTTGTTTTATTTAGAACGGTTGGCAGAGATGCAATGTAGAGGGAGAATTATAGTATAAGAATAATAATTAAATAATAGAAATTAAATAATCACTTTTTGTCATTTAAATCGTTCATTTTTTTATAAATTTTTTTTTCACTTCTTATATTTATTCGTAGATCCCATGAAGGCTATTCTTAAGCTTATGGTGGAACTGGTGGAAATTATGAAATTGAAAAATGGAATGAATGGATATAGGTTATATAAAGATCGTCATTTATTCAATTATCTTATTGCAGATCATATAAAGGCTATTCAAAAATTTAAAGTGGAAATTATGAAACTGAAAAATGTAATGAATGGATATAGACCAGGGATTTCCAACTGGCGGCCCGGGGGCCGCATCCGGCCCGCGAAGCCTTCTTTAAAATATATTAGTTGTAATTTTTTTGCGGACAATTTTCGTAAAAATTCTATATGGGCTTAAAGTACTTTTCTCGTTAATAAAAACCTAATTTTTTCGTTTCGGAGAAATTTAACATACCAACGGTGCAAAGAAATTTATTTTTCAGGTTTTGCATCCAAGAAAATATTTATTCAAATATAAAAACAATCGTGTATGCTGCTCTTTTTTATTTCATTTTTTTTGTATTTTGTGAATATAATTTAGCATGTGAGTATCAGAAATTCTCCAATTTAACTTTTTGAAACCACTCATTTTGGACGAAAATATTTACACACACATTTGTAAATTTTAAATCTAAATATCTATTCTCTGGTGGTTGCAGCAGACAAACCTCAATTTTCTCATTGAATATTTTGTGTACTACTATGTAAGTTTTAGTACCTTAACAATTAGATATCTGTTGCACATTAATTGTTTAATACATAGGTGCACATTAAAGTTATTGTAGCCCCAATTTTTATTATTTATTTAATGTCTTTAAAATTATTATTAATAACAATTAAATATTTTAAAAAATCTACTTCTTATTTTAATTTGTAATTCAATACTTTTGTTTTCTACAACTTGGTAAAGCTCTGACAGTAATATTTAATGTTCCTTCAAACATAAAAGAGTCCTTTAAAAATTTTTGATAAAGTTGCGGCCCGCCATTTGATTTGTGTTTTTAATTGTGGCCCCCGGCCTCATTAAGTTAGAAACCCCTAAACCCCTAATATAGAACGTATAAAGATCTACATCGTCATTTATTCATTCATCCTATTGTAGATCCTATAAAGACTATTCAAAAATTTATGGTGGAATTGGTGGGAGTTATGAAATTGAAAAATGGAATGAATGGATATAGACTATATAAAGATCTACATCGTCATTTATTCATTCATCCTATTGTAGATCCCATAAAGACTATTCAAAAATTTATGGTGGAATTGGTGGGAGTTATGAAATTGAAAAATGGAATGAATGGATATAGACTATATAAAGATCTACATCGTCATTTATTCATTCATCCTATTGTAGATCCCATAAAGACTATTCAA